CATGTGAGTCCACCTGTCCACCCGGCCACAGCCAGTCAGGGACGAGTCTTGACAAGAGACAGCGCATCGCGACTCGACACCGATGACATCTCCTGGTCAATCGCATCGCAGCCCGCCGTGTCTGTCCCAGTTGGCGGCTCTGATAGAGAAAACCGAATCGAATCGATTGAGACATCCCATTGTCTTTCTCTCTTGCCGCCGTACCGCATCTGATAAGCACAGGGCAGAGCTGCTCCACCTCTTCTTCCTCAACACCAGTGTCGACAAACAACGGAACCGTCCGCACAATGAACCCGTCGCCGCCATTGGTCTCATTCTTGATGCGCTCGAGGTCGTCGCATGAGCAGTTGAGCCTGTAGCCGGCCGGCGATTGGAGCCTGGGCGTGCTACCATCGTTTGTCACAACTTGGGCAATAGAACTTGAAGACACACATCAACACAGTAAAGGCCCTGTGGATTTCTTCTCCCTTTAAATCGTGTGTTACTCGATTTGCTCTCTTGTAAGCCTCAGGCCAGGCTCGCCAGCGGTCACCTCGAAGGGCTCGCGAGGGAGGCATTGGATTTGGACAGCAATGCCAGTAGAGTCTGGATCAGAGGGCAAACGCAACATCAGTGAATATACGTGTCGACATCCATGCACGTTCTGCGCACCTATCTCCTTGATTCCACAGACTTCACGCAGAGGCCCCCTAATCTCTGACAAGAAGCTGTTCGGCACCGTCCCTTCTTCCCTCTGCTCCTCGTATACACGGATTCTTGGAGAGCGAGTGACGACCTCCAACACACCCGCTGTCTCGCCCTCATCTGTCAGTTCATGGACCTCTACTCCAGGCACATTAAAGGCGAATGCTGTCGGGTCGTCGATAGATTCAACCCTCGCCCTCTTTATGTGAGTGAGCTTCTGCGTGAGATTGAAGCACTCGGCCGGGATATCGTCGACGAACCTGGGATCCAGGCCTTGAACAATTACATACTCCATGGTGCCCAACGGTGCGCTACTCGTGAAGAGTATCTCAGGAGCCTTTTCGAAGCGCGTAACGGTGGGGAGGTACCTGCCATCAAGGGGCTCTTCGTCAGGGCTCAGTTGAAAAAGAAGGCCGCCAACAAGAGTGCCTGCATGAGGAGAACACGACAGCAACAACCGAATATCCCAAGTCGCCGAGTGGCTGAGCATCTCTCTGCATGTCTGCCTACCTAACTGCCTGCCCGTTCGTCTCCCCGTCCGTCCGTCTGTCTGTCTGTCTGTCTGGCTGCCTGTCTGTCTATCTGTCTCTCTGTCTGCCGTGTATATGTGTGTGCGCACCTTCAACAAACATCAACGTGCCATTGCACTCTTCGGGAAACACCTGCCTCACTGCGCCCTTAAAGTCCACATTTGCAAAGTCCACTGTCTCCAGCTCCCCTGTCGTTTCGTCGAGTATCGGCGCTACGCGTCCATCCAGCTCAGCAACGTCATACTTGATCTGCACTTGCAAACCAACCCCCTCCTCGTCCGGGTCGCAGCTGAAAAGGGCTCGGAAGTCCTCTGCACCTGGAGTGTTTTCTATCTCGAGGCAGTAGCTGACATCTGTGCCATTGACATCTTCCGCAGGAGGGTCAGTCAGAAAATAGCTTGATGGCTGGGCGGTAGATGGGGCGGTCAAGTTGACTTCAGGACAGGCCTCAACTGACACGAGCACAAGATACGACAAAGCAACAACATGATGGACAGGCTGAAAGCGACAGGGAGCGAGCTGTGACTTGTTCTGATTGCTTACAGCATTCGAACCCGATCTTACACAATCGGGCGTTCTCCAGGAGTTCTTGCGCTGGCCCAATGCACCTCGACGTGTCAAGATCGTCCCCTTGCAGCAGCTGGATGGTAATATTGAGACTCTGCCCGCCTCCTTCCTCAATATCCGCACAAGTATGTCTCCCTTCCAGATTGGCCCTGACACACGTATCGTTTCCGAGGACTCCAGCGCCTGGTGCGAGGGCGACGCCCACAGTCTCGCCAATAAGGTCGAAGCCACGTCCGAAGTTCAAAATCTGACTTCTGAAAGGCGCGTTTCTGCCGGGGTGCACACCAACAGGAAGGTCTTGCAGCCTCGGCCCTCGGCAATTGGCTAAGACTGCTCAATACACAATCGACAAGAGACCAAAAGATGCAAACATCCTTGTCAGGCGGCCGACTGGCTGCTTGGTACATGTACCTTCTCTCCCATCGATCAAATTGCCAAGTTGGCCCTTCAGAAAAAAATCAAGCGACACGCCTGTCTCGGGGTCAAACAGCTCAAACGATCGGGGCCTCTCAGGGTCCAGAGCCTCAGCGCACAAAGCAGATACCTTTTTGGTACTCCTATTGAATCGCTCGTCGCCCGAGCACGCTGTGGTTTTGAGGGTCGTTTCTGTAAAGAAAGAGTCCCCAATGAAGAAACTGCTGAACGACAGGTCTGGCGACTGCTCCGGCTGGTAGATGGGAAAGAAGATAGTCGGCAGAACTTCTCCTAGAAGGGCACGGCGCCGGTCGGGGCCGAGAAAAACGAAACTCCTTTCCTCTTCCACTTCGTCGCAAAGATCACTGCACTCCCGGAAGGCATCTCGATTCTCGACAGCATATTGACTGATCTCCAACGGGTTCTGAGGATGCGAAAACACAGAAACACACACACACACACACATCACACGTGTGTGGCGATCTTAGCAAGAATGAACATACCTTTCGGATATCTCCGCCATTCGTCAGGTTCCTTCCAAATCCGGAGGCAGCCAGTGCAAGGATGCCGCCCGCCTCAGTCTGCCCCGACGTCACTGTGAACACTCGCTGGTTGAGCAGGACATCACATTCGTCAGGCACATCATCGGGGAACGTCAAGAGGCCGAGACTCGTGTTGGCCGCGGGCGAGAGAATGCCGATCGCGCGTGCAGTGACAAGATCGTCCTGTGTCTCGTTGCCGAAGATCAGAATGCGCTGGTTCGTGTCGTACTCGAATTGCTGAGCGATGAGAGACTCCGATTCGTCCACAAAGCCCGTCAAGGTGACCTCGATCTGCGCCTCAATCCCTTCGCACGCCGGATTGCTGGCCTGCTCGACCTGCAGCACGCCCTGGATGGTGGCGACTGCAGGCTGGAGGGCGTTTCCGGCTCGATTCGAGCAGAGGCCGGTCTCGGGGCAGGTGAACTGGAGAGTGATGCTGACGCCCTCTGTCGTGTTGCATGACAGGTCGAGGAAAAAATCATCGAGCCCACTATCATCGTCACTCTTGCCCTGAATCCTCATGCAGCTCGACACATTGGTGCCCGTGTTGCCGATGGTGTCGAGGTAGGCGTCAGAGCTCACGTCTTCGAACAGGTAAGTGCCGGGCACCAGCTGGGCGAACGTCGATTCTTGTGGCACGGGAGGCGGGTCGTTCGGCATGAAGCTCTGCTCTCTTGCATCGGGCCCAATGTCTTCCCTTCTCTCGACGACGGGCAGGCTGCCCGCACAGTCGAAGGGCACGGCGAAGCGGTTGACTGCATTGAAGCACGGATCCAGCTCGGCCGGGAAACACAGAGACGATGGCTGGCCGCTGACGACGCCCAGCACGAGGCTGACATCGCCGCGCGAGAAGTTCGCGACGTCGCCGAACAGACCCACTTCCTCCTCGATGCAGTAGCAGAAGCGGGAGTCGCTCGTGCGAGCGCAGATGGGCTTGTCCGACGGGCAACTGACAGACAGGCGCGCGAAAGAATGATGGTGCCATCACATTAGACGAGCAATGCGTACCTTCCCAGTGCCGCAGTGCCGAGGGCCGCCGCCGTGATATTGCCATCTTCCACGACACTGGGCTCTCCACAGATAATGGACTGATTCTCTCCTGATGCGCTCACGTCGCCGGCGGTCTCCTCATCGGTGGTCAGGGCATCTGTCTGTTGCTCCTTGAGTAGTCTTCTTGTGGTATTCTCAAAGAAGCACTGGCCGAAGTTGCCGAGGTCGGGGTCGTCGACAATGGGCAGCAGCGCATTGGCCTCGCACGCCGCGGCGATCTCACCGCGCGGGAGGACGGCTGAAGAAGATCAGAAACAGAACGAGCCTGCATGATGGCGTGTTCTTCCTTGCTTACCCGGCTGGCAGTCTGCGTTTGTTTCTGTCGGCTGTCCGTCATCGTCTGTTCTGTTGTTGTTGCTCAGACAGGCCGTCGTGAACTGAGCCACAGCACCCCTCCTCGCCCATTGACTCAGCAAGATGACCAACACAGTCGCAGAAAACCACGGAAGCATACAGAAAACTGCAATTCAGCAATGCTAAATTCGCAACGGTCGCCGTCAGTGTGTTTACAAGCTGAATTCTACAGCGTGCATCTGGTGGCTGGCTGTCACTTCACAAGTATGAGGTTCCTGTGGTTCGTCGTTGCCCTTGTGGCTCTCCTGGCAGCACACGTGCCCCCTGCGCTTGGAAATAATTCGCCGGAGCAAGTAAGCACTCTCACAGAAGAGGGTTGTCGTTGAGCGTGTACATCAATTTGTCGTGTGCAGGACTGCATCGATGAGAACGGGGACATATGTTGTTTCGATGATCCGGACAGAGAGTGCTGTTGCTACGAGGATTGCGAGCTCTTGTATGATGAAGACAGCCCAGAGAGGGAGATATGTGAGGATGACTGCCTCCTCAACTGCTGATGGCACACCTCAAGCGAGGTGGGGCCAACTAGTGGGATGGCGGAAGCCAGGGAGTGTCAGTGTGTAGTGTTAGGATGCGATGATGTAGCTGTGAAGTGAGAAGGAAGCCCTGCCAGGCTGCCTCTGCGGTACGGGCGACTCGCTTGTGCCCATGGATGTGCTGTCTGGTCTGTCTGGGGTAATTGGTCGATGGCCCTTTCTTGTCGTGCTGTCTTAATGGCGTCGTCACTGACTTTTTTACTTACTTTTTGGTAGAGAGTTTGACAACCGCAGACTCGAAATGCTCACTTCCATGCCTTATGTGTCACGTCCTATGCACACGACCTATCTTCATGACGACGCAAAGCACATACACGCTCTCTAAGTCTCCATCTGCAGAGATGCAGATACACGATAGAAGACACAGAAGGCCGCATCCACAGACACGCCCGCCATCTTGTCTACTGTCACGTCACCTGCAGGTGTGTCAGGAGTTTGATAGAGCAGAGCAGGTGCTGGAACTGGTGGTCCAGCACCTTCCAGTCATCGTCAACTCGGCTGACAACACGGCTGGCGACGTCGACGAGAGCGGCGTGTTCGCTCGGGTCGGTCTAGGGGTCGGGGTCACCAAACAGCCAGTGGTGGTGAAACTGACACAAATAGCGGGCAAGCTGACTGACCAACCTCTTTTCCATCTGTCAGGTCGCTGCGTGTGGCATTCTCACCTGTAGGAAGGTGTACAGCAGCGTCTGGATCAAGTCGGCCTCATCACGACGATCGAGGTAGTGCTCAAAGAACCCCCAAGACACTTATTATCTGCACGTGACGACAACGGTGGCGTTTCCTCGCACTCACTGCCCTCTCACTCTCTCTCTCTCTTCTTACTTCCTTGATCGTTCCTCCTGCCAGCGGCCCCAGTCGCGACAACGCCACGTGAATCCTTGAGGGCGTCATGCCCTTCAACGCATTCAGCATCGCATCGTACTTGCCCTTCTTCACGAGACGCTGAAATGCCGTCATCCCACTCGCTGACCGCCGCACTCGCTAGACAGTGGTCTGTTCTGTTGTTGTTGCTCAGGCAGGCCGTCGTGAACTGAGCCACAGCACCCCTCCTCTCCCATTGACTCAGCAAGATGACCAACACAGTCGCAGGAAACCACGGAAGCATACAGAAAACTGCAAAGTGCGAATACGTCCCAACGGCCGTCAGTGTGTTTACAAGCTGAATTCTACAGTGTGCATCTGGTGGCTGGCTGTCACTTCACAAGTATGAGGTTCCTGTGGTTCGTCGTTGCCCTTGTGGCTCTCCTGGCAGCACACGTGCCCCCTGCGCTTGGAAGAGCTTCGCCGGAGCAAGTTGTAAGGACGCTCACAGAAGAGGATTTTCGTCAATTGAGCGCCATGGGTTGAGCGTGTCCATCACCTTGTCGTGTGCAGGACTGTTTCGATGATCCGGATAGAGAGTGCTGCTGCTACGAGGATTGCGAGCTCTTGTATGAGGAAGACAGCGAAGAGAGGGAGATATGTGAGGATGACTGCCTCCTCAACTGCTGATGGCACACCTCAAGCGAGGTGGGGCCAACGAGTGGGATGGCGGAAGCCAGGGAGTGTCAGTGTGTGTGTAGTGTGGGGATGCGATGATGTAGCTGTGACGGGAGAAGGAAGCCCTGCCAGGCTGCCTCTGCGGCACGGGCGACTCGCTTGTGCCCATGGATGTGCTGTCTGGTCTGTCTGGGGTAATTGGTCGATGGCCCTTTCTTGTCGTGCTGTCTTAATGGCGTCGTCACTCACTGACTTTTTACTTACTTTTTGGTAGAGAGTTTGACAACCGCAGACTCGAAATGCTCACTTCCATACCTTATGTGTCACGTCCTATGCACACGACCTATCTTCATGACGACGCAAAGCACATACACGCTCTCTAAGTCTCCATCTGCAGAGATGCAGATACACGATAGAAGACACAGAAGGCCGCATCCACAGACACGCCCGCCATCTTGTCTACTGTCACGTCACCTGCAGGTGTGTCAGGAGTTTGATAGAGCAGAGCAGGTGCTGGAACTGGTGGTC